GGCAGCCACAGCAGACAATACTTCGATCGGAGATCTGGACGCAGGGCCTTGACTCAAAGCACCAACCGGGAAAGGACCTGAGGTCGATCGGGCGGCCTTGGAGACGCGAGCAGACTGGGCTGGAGAATCGGACTCGGAGCGTGCTCGATTGTGACTCTGGGTGAAAGGGAGAAGAGACACGATGCTGGACAATCTTTCTTGCGCCTGGTCCCGCTCGGCCCGAGATCAGTGATCTCCATGAAACGCTCGCCAAGCTGGCCGAGCAACTCATCTCCTTGGACCGCCAGACTATCTCTCTCCTGCCGAAGTGCTGCTAGCGCGACCTCGAGATCTTGACGCGACTTCTGAGATTTCTCGACTTGGTTAATCCGTTTTTCCAGCCGGGCGATAGTATCGTGAGCCGCTGAGACACAATCCTCTGTGACACAAGACATGAGTTAGTATGACGCCGACAGGGATATACGGATGGTACTCAAGAGTGGCGATACCTTCTGCCCTGCCGTGATCACGCTGAGAGATCGCTGCGCGGGCGCGCTGAGAAGCCTGCTGAAGATCCCGATCCAATGTCGATACCCGATCATGCAAACGACTAAGCTCGGTGGAATGTGTGGTGATTGTGTTGTCGACAACCCTAAAGCGACGCTCATAGATGTCACGCATGGGGCGAAGGCAACGAGTCATAAACTCGATCGCGGCCTCGAGACGAACTACCTCTGCATGAGCAGCCTTGTGGGACGTAGCTGATTCGCGAAGCTCCGAAGCGAGGGCAGACGGACGATCGCGCGCGACTTGTAAATCAGATTGGGACCACGCGAGCTGGGGCTCCAGATCCGCTATGCGACGAGCCGTATCGGGCGGGACGATCACGCCAAAGGAAGAGGCAGCAGCCAGCTGTGCCTCTAGCGTACGAATACGATCTTGGAACTCGGACACCGCTTCGTTGTAGCGGATTTTCAAATCGCGATACAGAAGGAGGCAGGCCTCGAGCTCACAAGAGTTGTCAAAAAGCTCCTGCAATGCAGTCATACACTCGACGAGCTCCGTCCGAGTAGATTCCAGCTTGTGGCGAACCACATCGTATTTGTGCTGACAGAAGAGCACATACGGCGACGCAGCATTGGCCGCGTCGGTGAGCTGACAATCCAGATCCTCCGCGCGACGTTGTGTAACCAGGAACTCGCGGCGCAGATTCTCATGATCCGAGTGAATCTCGCGCAATGCCTCGACCTGGTCAATGGATAGCTGCAGCGCACTGAGCGAGGCCCGCACGCCGGCAAGGTCCAACGAAGAAACGGCCAGCTCAACAGTCGACACGTTGGCAGGGGCGCCGCGCGCAACAGAACGAGGAGACGAGCAGGGAGAGGGCGTGTGGTCGACGATAGCGCCGCCATATATGAAAGACGTGAGTTAGAAACGAAGAGAGGGCCAAAGACGCAGAGGAATGGACGCACCGGAGGACATGGCGATGTAGCTGTGGTGACACCGGAGGAGAGCGATGACACAGGCGGAGGCTGTTGGGAAGATCGGTGAGTGAAGCCCGACAGTTGGTGCTGTGGACTCTCACTCAGGGGACGATTGTGGTGAAGCGGCAGTTGGCTTTTGGGAGACAAGGGACTGATTAATGGCAACTAGCTCAAGCGGGAGTAGCCGGTTTAGGTCTTGGGGGGGGGGGGGGAGGGGGGGAACTTGTTTGGAGGATGCCATGGTGCTAGGTGTTGTAGACAGCAAAATGAAAAATGATGGGGAAAGCTAGTGGAGTAGTCAATCCACCACCAAGTACCTTATCGTGCGCGCGAGATCGAATGAACAGCGATTCTAGAATCTTATGTTGAAGTCTAAATTTTCTAGTACTATTGGCATGCTTTTTGATATATTCGTTTTTCGGTGGCGTGGGCATTCCTTCGGTGGTTTGCATAAATTTCCACGTCATGTTCAAACGTTGCTCATCAGGTCTAATGTATTTTTTTGTCCAGTTGTATAGGTGTGATACAGCGCGTGTGTCGTATTAAATGCATTAATACCTGAATATGTAACATAATGGATTGACTGCATTGATGATTTTGTGGCGGTGTCGGTGCTTCTGTACATGTACGCTTCAGTATGAATTCCCAGAGACAGGATCCGACGAAGATTACTGATTGCGGACGCTTTAGTACTGTTCCGCTGAGCCTCATACACCCGCAAATTGGATACATGTACTGGAGGTAAAACCTGCTCACACATCACTAAGCAATTTTCTTTTGACCTGACAACTCGTCTCCCCAGTT